ACTGGAAAGCCTCGAGCCCAGAGCTGCTTTTGGGGGTTATAAAACTGTAACATGTCCAGGCCTTTAGTGGCTCTAGTTAGCGTCGGCTTGAAGGACTGTGGGGCATTCAGGCTTGAGGCATTGAATTTAGGTTTGAAGCATCTGACTGTTGACAAGGCTCGAATTGTATAGGGTTCGAGGATCGGCTGAGTAGAGAAGGTTCAGGGGTTGAAGGTCACAGCGCACTGTGCGGATCCCACACTCTGAGTGCCCTCATCACTGTCAGCCTTTCTGTCGCTGTTTGGTTACCTGCCTTAGCTGTCCAAATTGAACCCTAAGCCGAACAACCTTGAACGCCCCGTCCGCCATTTGCAAAATGCCCCCAAAAAACAATCACACTAGCCAAGACTCCCGAGCCTCTCTGAATCCTTCAAAGCCCTAGAACACCCTAAACCCTGGCAGAGCCCTTAAAGGAAAGGAACCCGTTAAAGTAGCCCTTGAAACTTAAAACCCTAAACCCTCAGAGGAACCCTCTAAAGGAATCCTAATGCAGACCGCAGGCATGGCGAACAAGCGGCAAGAGTCAGGCAGAAGGGGCGCCTCAGTCGGATCCTTTTGGTGGCTTCGGGGGTCATCACCGAGATGCTTGGTACTGTTGAAGAACCAAACTTTTCAGGACCTTAACTGCCCTAAGCTATGGAAATCGGGGTCTTTGATTGGTTATGATGGCTCGAGCGATGGTGCATAGGCATTAGAGTAAAGGATGCCGATCATCCTTGCGATATTTCGATGATTTCAATGGGGGGCACCTGGCCATAAACTCTAAACAAAAACCATTTTGCTCGGGAGTGTAGCGGCAAGTTCGTTTCCATTGGGTCACCGGGCATCGGGCGTTCTAAGGACCTCCATAGCCACAATAACCCCCATAGCCCTAGTAGCACTAAACCCCAAGCTTTCCTTGGTTGAACTTTACAGTCACTTTATAGCTGTATCACTTTTAGGATGAGCCTTCTTGATTTTAGGGGTACTAAAGGTTATAATTTTAGCAGGGTAGTAGAGAGCACCCCAGTTTCGAGGAAGGTCTTTTCACTGCGCTGGTGGCTGCTGCCTCTACTTTGGTCGTGTCGGCAATTCAGGCGGTCGCGCAGATACAACTGTGGGTCCCGCCCTTTGGTGCCATCGTGCCTCAACTTTAACCAGAAGCTTTTTACCGAAATCCCATAAACCTGACACACAGTAAGAGTCAACACAACGCCCGAACCAGTTTTCTTTCCACGGCTGCAGGTTGACGGACAGAGCCTTGATTACCTCGATCCTGAACCCTTAATTCCACACCTGCCAGCAGGCTTTTTCTTTCTCTTTCGGAATCCAGGTACTGATATTTGCTGCCGAGGCTGTCGCAGCAGCCAAGGCAGGGAAAATCCTGTGCAGGAGGACGCCTGAAGGGGGCTTAGTTACTTGGTTTGTTGTTGTTGTTGTCTTTTCGTTGGGGTTGGAGGATGAACATATGACTTCAGGGTCGAGGTTTCATGAAGGTACCGAGAGGCTGAGAGCTTGGCAGAGCATCTTCTTCTGCGGGCCGACACTGGGGAGGAACCAAGACCTTGCACAGCTGGATTTCCTTGGTTCATGAAACCTGAAATAAGCAGGCTTGTTTATAGAGTGCAGAGATTCCCTGTCACGTGTCTTCCATACACAGGAGACCAAAACCACACCTAAACCTCTTTCAGAGTAGCAGTCGGCTGAGAGAAGGATGGGATACAACCCCATGCCAAAACATGTTACGGCCCAACTAAAGCCCAGGCCACAACCCTCGCACCTTCGCTTCAACCACATACCTTGTAGCCGAACCCCTAAGCAGACGGCCTCGTCCCTGTCGATCCTACCACAAATTCCGCGAGAGCGTTGAGAACTACATACTTGCGAGAAACCTAGACATTCACAGAACCCTGTGAGGCACTTAGAAACCATGAAAGCCCGTTCAAGAAAAATATCAGGACCATGTGGTCTCGTGGGCTGCGAGCCTGCAGTGGTGTTGCAGGTGGCTCAACCCTGTATTGGCCCAAGCACCTGCGGGGCTTGGCTTTTGGTGGTTCTGCGGATTTAGGACTTAAGGCACTTGAGGTTTGCGATGAGGATCCCTCTTGTTTCGTTTTCAGGGTTCTGGGATTTTGTCCCCAGAACCGGGTTCTGGTGACAAAATCCCAGAGTAGTTTCTGATTTTGGGAAGGTTTGGGGCCCTTCGGTAGACTGGCAGCATAAGCGAAGCACTTCGCTACGAACAGGTGCCTGCCTCTTCACCGTGGGAATATCGGATCTGTTGGGCCACACTCCGGTGATGCTGCGGGTTGTGGCCATGTTTGCCGCAGCCTTCTCCATGACCGTGAACCCCAGTGCAGGATACTTCCCCCCAGCAGGTGGGTGCTTTGCCAAATCTATGGTACTGTGCTCTTTGGGGTTTGTATACTTCACAAGCTGTGCGGAGGCGCCTTCTGTGCCATCTATGTGGAGAAAGTCGTCACGCATGGTCTCAGGCCTGGGCTTTGCGACACTGATCAGCCTTATCCGTGGCAGCTTCGTAGCAGTAACATCGTCAACAAACGGAGATGCATCATCAGATCCTGTTCAAGACACCAAGAGTAGCAGCAACAGCAGTGATACCGACATGAGCCACAGCAGCATGCGCAACCATCGTTCTCAAGAAGAACGACGACCGCTGCCATCGGCCCCGGCCGCCGGCAACAAATCCGACCAGCGCAACGACACAGACAACCGCCACACCACAACACCACCGCCACTCCTCCGCTTCCAGCTGCTGCACCTCTTGGTGCCATTTACCATTGTGACCACTCTGGCACAACTACCACCACGACAATCACCACACTGCCAGAATTGCAGATGCTTGATTGTTCACATGCACTTCACTGATGGAGATATTGGCGGCAACACTTCACTGACGACGACAGTGGCAGCCCTTGTGGTGAATACGTAATGTGTACTTGAGTGTAATTTGATGCATGTCCTTGGCATTTTGCCGGAAAGGAGCTTTAAATGTCTTTAGCATCGATGTGAAGAGGGAGCACCTATTGGACCTATTTGCAGTATTGGATGTATCTTCAATAAATCGCTGGATGATGATGACGGCTCGAAAGGAGCTGATCCGAAGCATGTCAGTGTGAGCCTGGGTATCCGCAGAGCAGCAGTTTGAGCGCATAGCGCAAAGGCTAAATTCACTCAGTACTGCAGGAGGCAAAAACCGCTCTGCCACCACCTCCACCACAGCGCAGTCGACAACACAAGCAACAACAGCAGCAGCAACAACAACAACAACAGCAACAGCAACTACAACGACAACAACAACAACGACGACGACGACGACAACGACAACAGCAGCAGCAACAGTAACGGCAACAACACAGCCACGGCAACGGCAACGGCAGCAGCAGCAGCAACAACAACAACAACGCGACGACGGCTAGTACCTCTGGAAGGAATGCAACAGCGATATACCACATGATCCCTCCTGTCATGAAGCAGCATCTTTAACTTATTGGCTCATCTAACAAAACGGGCTTATGGGATTTCCCAACCTTACACGTTTGGTTTGTGTTTAGGTCCAGGTGCTTTTGGAGGTCCATAAGTAAATGGAGCCACAGGCCAGGGCTCGGCTATGCTTTCTTCCCCTGCGGCGTTGGAGTGGCCCTGCTGCTCATCACCACCCGCCTGGTCACCTTCTTAATGGCACATCCGCTCTGGAAGATGAAGAAAGTGGCGAGATCTTACAAGGCCGCGCGAATGATGCTGTTGAGGCATGAGAATTAATGCCCCAGTGCTGTCGCAAGTTGGATGTCACAGAAGGGTGGCAATGCTTGTCTTTTGAGCCGGCTTCGGATATGTTCAATGTTCTGGAAGTTGTGCTTTGCTATCTTCGCTACGTAGGCCACTGGCTTTCCTTTCAAGTTCTCCTCCGCAAGATACCTTTGATCTCTTTGAGCATACTTTATATGATGTCACCGTCAAGCTATATGCAAAATTTCAGAAAGTTGTCTCGTACCAAGTTGTGCCTGAAGCTTGGAGCCGCGAAGTGGCCGGTCTCGCATCTCAGTCATGAGTACTGTCTTGTGGGTCAAGCTGGGCAGTAAGGGCAGCAGCAGAGTCCCTTGTGAAAAAGTGCTGTCGCAAGTCCCAAGCACTGTGACAGGCCGCGTCAAGGTACAGAAGAAGGTCGTTTTGCGGCTAAACCCCTCCAGCAGTAGGAAGCCAGAGAGCCCAACAACCCCAACGCCTTCAGGTACAGAGCTATCCTTGATATAACTATGGTTAAGGTCTACTACTAATTCATGGGTACTGGGCTCTCTGGGAGGTTAGTACCACCTGCAAGCATACGAGGGAGGATCAGACTCACAGCTTGACTGCGCCAGTCTGACCGCGCTTCGACGATTCAGAGAGCGGCTGAAATCTTCGACGGCTTAGGGTTCAGCAGGTTGGGCGTCAGTCTTTGCATGATGACATCCACAAGTTCTTACATGTTGATATCTGTTCTGTTGCTGCTGGTGATCTGTCATGTCCCTCGCAAGTAACTCCAAAGTCTCTTGCGGCTTGCACGGGCGGGTATGAGGTGCCTCCTTGCTGAACCCTTGCATCATGCAGCTACGAGCCTGTGGCAGGGAGAAACTGTACTATACTGCCGCCGGGAACGGGGCCCGCCGCAGGCAGAAACGAAAAGCAAGGCGCCTATAAAAGCGACTGTACCTGCCTACGGCGTCGAAGACACGCGGGGGAGCGGCAGGCCTTGAAAACCTGCTGTACAGAAGGGACCGGCGGGCAGGCCTGCTCCACCCAGGCCGAGGTCGACTAGTGATCTCTGCAATGGTGTACCCTTATATAGTTTTGTTACTTGAGGTGGAACTTCAGCTTTCCAGGCATGCGCGCCTTCCCTAGCTTATTTTGTCTTGACTTCTCTTCGTGCTTAGTTGCTGCTCGGGATGTGAGAAAGGAGGAAACGGAAGACGAATTGCTGCCGGATGAACTCCGCCAAGATGATTCATCCTTGCATTGTTGAAAAAGCCAGGGTGTTGAAGCCCGAAGTTCTGAACCCTAAAATCCGAATCCAAAGCAGGAAGCTCCCAAACTTTCGGCTCCTGAACTCTGTATCGGGAGCTTAAGGTTCCTTTTATTTCGCAAAGCCCTAAACCCTAAACCCTAAGCCCCAAACCCTAAACCCGAACTCTACCCTAGGATGGCTCCCGAAGCCGCAGCATCGATGCTGGGATTGCTTCTGGTGCCTTGGCACCTTCCTTGGTACGAATGTCGGGGTTTAGGCTTAAGGTCTAGGGTTTTAATTGAGGGTTGGTGCGACGAGAGAAGGCTCTAAGCACTCAGCCCCTTACTAAACCCCTTGCCCTGCTCTAGACTCTAAACCCTACACCAACCTGATTTAGGTTTGGCGGGGTTCAGGGATGGCAGCCAAGTGTCTACAGTCGGAGTTTGGGTGGAGTAGCAGTCTGCAGGCGGCGGTTTGGCCTTGACAATTGAAGTAAGGGTCTTCTCACCGGACTTACTGCGGAAGAGGTATACCGGCTTCAGGTTGAATAGTGCCTCAAGGCGGACATCTAACAGGTTCACCATTCCGCGCACCAAGCTCCAAGTGCTTGGAAACAGCAGGACCAAACCCTCTTGCTAATGTAGGGTTACTACCTTGTTGTACTCCTATGACTGTTGAGATGAGTAGCGGTTGTTTTCCGCATTGCAATGGTTGTGCTTATCATGAAGATTGTTATTATCATGCTTGTCGTTATCTTGACTATGACTATTGTTACTATTATTGTTACTAGTGTTTTCGTTTTTGGTAGGATAAGGGTTGTCATCGTCAGTATTACTCCTATCATGTTTAGCATTGTTGTTGACACAATCATGTCCATAATCACAACAGTAGAGACATACCGATAGAAAGCAATATGATAACAACTTATTGTTATTATTACTCGTAGTAGTAGCAGCAGCAGCGGAAAAAGTAGTAATAGCAATGGCAGCAGAAGAAGTGGTTGGAAGCCTTCACCCTCTGCAAGACCTGTTTCTGAACGTTAAAATCTTGCATAGCCTCTTAACAGCCCGAAACTCGATCCCTGATCCTTCCAGTATGCCCTTGGGGCCCGAGAAACATACTGCACAGATTGTTGGGCTGCGCCAAAGATTAGGGCCTTAAGGCAAAGCACTCTAAACCCTGAGGCTAAACGACGTAGAAACGGCTCTAGGGGCTCTGTGTTTGGAGGTTTGAATTCATGGAGCCATGACACTCAATTTTATGCGGAGGCTAAGCCTATCCAAGAGAGTCCTGGACATCACTCGCTGAGCTCGAGGGCGATACTGGGCGGCCGGACAATGCTCCTCCGAGCGCACCGCAAGGTTTTGAGAAGGGGCTTTGATGGTGCAAAGAATAGGGCAGGTGCTTGACTAATCGGCGCTCCTTGAGGGTGAAGAGACGAGCAAGCCTCCGAACCAGTGGTATTGAAGCAAGATGTAACTCTGCAACTCGAAATTGTTAGCTGATCCCATGAGCTTTCCAGCACTCGCTGCCCAAACCGTTGTCGCGCTGTCATGACTAAACTTGAACCGCAGACCCTCAGAGGCTAGGCTTTTGGGTCCGTGACCGAAACTTGGTTGTGGTTTTGGTTTGGGGGTTCTCGGCTGGGCCATGGAAGTGGGGTGGAAGGTGATGGTCTAGAAACGTAACTGTTGTCGAACACTTCTTCAGCTCGAAACCCTACCGCGCGCGGGAGAGTCGGCCTTGCACCGATGGGACCACTGAGGCAGTGTGCTTACAAACCCGACATGCGAGAGACCCGCTTGGGCGCCAGACAGGCGCCACCTGCTCCGGAATCCGACACTTTGGGGTTTAGGAGTTTACCCACAGGCCCTAAAGTAGTTCCTTTTTGGGGTTCATATATAGAATCCTACAAGGTAACCCCAAAAAGGAACTACTGTGGGGCCTATGGGTAGACGGGCCTAGACTTAGACCTGAAGAGGCACTGAAGAGGTAGCCAATGTGGGAGTTTGGGGCGGAGGGCTGACAGCCAGGGTGTCGCAGCTTGCAGTTATCACAAGAGAGGAATCGAGGCGTTTTTGCATTAAGATTCGGGAAAAAGCGGTTACCCTCCCGCTAAGCAAGATTGGAATCGATATGGAGGATCGCGTTCGATGGCCCGAGTGGAAGTACGATGTCAACACCAGCCGTTTGTGCTGCAATGCTAGGTTTTCTTATGCTTTTGGCTTGAGGTGGAGTTGTTGGGTGTGAGGTTCTAGGTTATTAGAAGAGGTTGGGTCTTGTTAGGTGAATGATGAAGGCATGGGTCCGTGCAAGTAGTAAGTCATTAGCAACGACCTATATGTATGTCTACTTTCATTCACGGGTGTGTACGGGAAGGTTCCTTCCTATTGATGAAGGCACTTCTACTAAACCCCATAAGCTACTGAGAAGAGGAGGCGTGTGGTGTTGAACAGTCTCTGCTGATACGCACATGCCTAATATAGATATCTGTGTTGTTGCGGAAGTGGTTGGCTTATGCGTAGTCTCGACATGTTGACAAACCCTCACCAACAGGGTATATGACAGCAACACTAGGACGGAGCATCCCGTCATGATGAGCCTTAGGGGCTGATCTCGGTGGGTTCTTCCATGACCTTTGGCCTTGGACCAAGGTCACATACCGGTGTGGCACTCGAAGTTTCTTCGTGCAGCTTGCCCGCACCCTCCAACAAGAATCTACCCATAGGCCCCATAGTAGATCTTTTTTGGGGGGTTACCTTAGAGGATTCTATTTATGAACCCCAAAAAGCTTTAGGGCCTATGGGTATGGTGACCCACAGTTAACACCTCAATCTTCGCCTTGCGAGCGCAGAGCCTGCAGGGCTAAGAGTGTCTAGAGGTCTGAACAGTATTAATCAGATAATCATGTACCCTTGCAGTCCCCATGCTACTTCAATGTAGTATACCCAAAAAACAACCTAGCACCTAGCCTGCTTTTTAAACGCCCTTATACTTTTCTCGAGGTGCCTCGGGAGAAGCAGGCCAGAAGTGCCAGTGTTTTTGATGTCGCCGGGGCCTCAGATCCTCCGGCGGTGCCCGAGGGTCCTCAAATCGTTTCGTATGCCCGGAAACCACCACGTCCAGACTCCCCAAAATCTGAATTGTGTGCTTTTCAACTCGTAGTTATTAATTAAACTTTGAACTAAGCCTTTAAGTTCTGGACTTGAAACATCCGAAGCCACCTTCGTTAGGAGACCTTGGCTCTTCTGCTGCCAAATATCCTCGACATCGACATCTTCATGGCCTTGGCATCGGCTAGGAGTGTGCACAGGCACCCGTCCCGAATCTCCGGAAGTTGGGTGTCTTGGGTTTCGGGTCGAGGATTTAGTAACATTTAGAGTTTTGGGGTTTAGGGTTTTGGCTAGATCGGGCTGCTGGACAGCGAGGCCTGTTGCAAAAAATACCGCGCATCACTCTTCCAGACGTCTTCCGCTAGCTGCTGCGCGGGAGAGCGAGCATAGGCAACACAGTGAGAGTGTGTGAGCCTCAGGTAGGCCTTTCAGCACGCGCACTTCCTATAGTCTCCATTGTAGTTCCTTTTTTTGGTTTAAACAAAAATGTATTAAGGATTTTATAAGGTATCCCCAAAAAGGAACTACAATGGAGAATCTAGGTACTTTGAAAGAGCCCTGCATATCAAGGCCTTGTCATGCTCAGGGCTCTGGAGCCCTAGGCAAGACTCCAGGCGGAAACGACAGCCCGGACCTTACCTACAGTCTCCATTGTAGTTCCTTTTTGGGGATACCTTATAAACTCGTTAATATATATTTGGTTAAACCAAAAAAAGGAACTACAATGGAGACTATAGGTAGAAACTTCAACGAGCCCTGTCCAGGCAAATCTTCAATTCCTTGGCTATCAAAGCAGCCGTGCACTGTTTGTGGATCGAGTTGATCAGTGGCCCGGCACTGGGCAGTGACGGTTAGGGCGTAGTTCAAAGCTTTGTAAAGGGCAAGTTAAAAGGTGAGACATCGCCGAAAGCAAAGGCAAAAACAAAAGCAAAAGCATAATAATTAAGTCATAAATTAATGTACAACTTTTGTAGAGTTCTAGATTTAATTTTTTATTTTTGAAAATTTTTTCTAAAATAAAATAATAAGCCTTCAATGGACGAAGCGATTGAAAAGAAATTAGACGAGCAACTACAAAACATTAAGTCTGAGTTAATCATATTCAATACCATCCAAGATTTAACGGAAAAGATGCAAAAATTAGAGGATGAGATAGAAAAGTTGAAGAACAAAAATAAATGTATCAATTCTGGAAAATGTATGCCGTGTAATTTCTGTAGTTTTTCGTTAATCTGATTGCTAATATTATTTAAACTAATAGTATTAATCAATAACTAGTTTAGCGTCAAATCTTTTGTAAAACATATCATTTACCTCTCCCTTCATTAAATTAATAAGTAAGAAACTATATGGTTCTTCGGTTGCTGTGTTATACACTTCTAACATTAATTTCTTTGCTTCTGCTAAGTTTTTAGCGTCTGCCACGGACGATTTTTTAATCAATACCGCGCTTAACTCTTCAACCATTGTCTCTATCTCTTTGTAGTTCCTTAACCTGAAAAAGAATAACTGACGACTATTAACACGAATGATAGGACTTAAAGCGTTGAACTTTTGTGTTGCTGATATGATATTGATTGCGTTGTGTCTCCCGCGAACATACAACTGATTTAGCAAAGGTGAGTTTCTTGAAAAAGCCTTACTGTCGGCGAAGTCATCTACTATTACGAGAATAGAAAGTAATTTCTTATGGTCGTTCTTCTTCTGGTATTCTATTACCTTATGTTGTCGTTTTGTCACCTTGTCTAATTCTTCCGGTATATATTCATCAAATAAGCACTTTCCTTTTCTAAATCAACCTTCAGCTCGTCTTGAATGTATTTTTTAACTGGTGTCCAATTACTATCAACTGAAATCGAAGGAGACCAAATATATATTCTTTCAAAGACACCTTTATAAATATCTAATATCATAGATTGTAATAATATACCTTTACCACATCCTGAAGGGCCAATTATTATTTGACTAAAAGGTAGTTTAGTTGCTACTTCGTATTTAGATTGTTTAAAATCGTATTCTTTAACATTAATGGGTTTTACAATGGGAATATCTGACATTTTTATTAATACATAGAAAAGTTATATCGTTATTAATATATGATCGATTATGATGAGTATTTAGAAGTTTTAGATGAGATAGAGAAGATAGAGGAAATAGTTTTACCAAACAAATATAAGAGATGTTGCTATAGCTTGTTAGTGTTGTTTAAATCTTTAATTATGGTTATTAACTTTAAATCTAATTAAGATAAATGAGCGATAATAAAGATGGAGGATTACAGGTAAATAAAGATGGTATTAACTGTTTATTTTGTAGATGTGAGCGAAATACATATCATAAACAAAGTACAACAACTACTGAAAATAACAAAGCAGTTGTTAATGTTGTTGAAGATAGGAGCAGTATTAAGTTTGGTAAAGGTAGGAATGTATCGCCTGATGATGGAATATTTAAAACAGACACCACCCCGCAAATGGGAGGTATTGAACTTTGTAGCACAGGATGGAGTGAAAGTAGGTTAATAACACCCGAAGAGTGCGAAGAACGCCTTGAAAAAATTGAAGAAGATGTTGAAAGGATTGATAAAGATGTTAATAACTTAAAAAATAATTTAAATATTATGGATTAATATTTAAAAATTCTTTTATATGTAATATTGACAGTTTGTATAGTCGCATAGCAATGCGAGGCTCGTGTCTCGCATCTTTTGATGAAGCAGGAACAATTGCCCCCGTCTGGAAAAAATCGGTGCTCATGCCCATGCATTGATTGAATGAACGCGAGAAAGGGGAAAAGTATCGTGAAACATTCAATCGCACTTCATAAGCAAGTGTGTAATTAGTTTGGAAGTGTGCTTTTTTTACTTATAATTTATGTTAGATTATAAGTAAAATGTGTAATTATGTTGATAAAATTGTGGTGTCATTCTTTGCTACTGATGATAATGGTTGAAATTATGGAAAAAATGATATAAGATATTGTCCGAATTGTAAGATCTGTAAAAATATAGAACTATTCAAGAGTTATAACAAGAACAAAGAATACAATAACATATGTAGGAGGTGCTTAGATAGTATAACCGGCTATGTCTCGCTCAAAGAAAAGTCAAGTCTTTATATCTAAAACTTTTATATAGTAATATGCGCGATGTAGATGATGAGGTTAAAGAAACAAAAGCAACGCGATTTCAAAAGCTATTGGATAAGTTAGAACTTATTGAACAGGCATTGAATAAACTTAATGAACCTAAACCAGTTAAAAAAACAATGGATAAAGATAGTGATATTTATAAGAATAAAAGGAGTGTATATGTTAAGAAACTCAACAACAAAGATATTAAGTTTCCAAAGAAGGAGACGAGAGAATATTATGAGATTAAGTTTGACGACCAAGAGAGAGCATATTAAGTATTGTATTTTACAAAAACCATATTTTACAAAAATCATTTAAAGAATTGAGAACTTATATATCAATGGCAGAAACATTCGGAAATAAAAACAAACAGGAATTAACCAAAATTAATAATGACCTGAACTTGATAAAGTATGATGTTATGAATACGTTAGCCGACAATATACCATATATTGAAAACTGCGTGATGACGACTTATGTGAGGAATGGAAAACTAATTCTTGAAATTATAGACGGAAGAACAGTGGATATTATGAGACGAGAAGGGAAGAGAAACAAAGAAAACATAGAACCAAAGGGAATGGCAAAACTTTATACAATAATGAACGGATAAGCGTAAACAGCATTTTACTAGTTAATTTTAGTAAAATTCAATTTAACTAATTATTAGGAAATATTTAGTTAAATTTTATATTAGAAAACTTATTTACTAAACACCATTTAGTAAATAAGTTTTGTAAAATTCTATGTAATTGGCATTTCCCAGTTCAGGGTTATGGTCTTTGGGGATTTTTCTATTAGGGTCTTGCCCCACACCTCATGTTAGGATATTGGTTATAGAATGGTTAAGGGTGAGTATTGTTTAGGCGCTTTGGGTTTTGGGTTGTGTTTTGGATTGTTGTATTGGTTGGTGGGTTGCTTTGTTTTCGGGATTGTTGCATTGGTTTTGGGAGGTGCTTTGTGTTTAGTGGGATTTAAGGGTTGAAGTGTTAGGCGGGTTGAGAAATGGGGTGAAAGCGTAGGGTGGGGTATAGGATGTGAGGTGTGGGGTTAGCCTATGCTTGCTTTTAGACGGTGATTTGACAATCATGTCCCTCAGGTACCAGTTTTGCTTGCTTATCTTGGCGAAGGGACCAGAATGGTATGGCCGGAAGACGTGAAACCTGAACCGTAAACCCTCCTGTAGAGCAAGTGTATGTGCTAACCCCCTTGGGTACCTGCACTCGCTCTGAGCTTTTGATGCTAAGCATCCTAAGCTCCGAGTACGGCCGTGCAAGCCCTTTCAAAAAGAAGAACCCTAAACCCTAAACCCCCCCAAAAACTACCCTAAACCCTAAACCCTAAACCCTAAACCCTCGCTGTGGTGCCCAAGAGAAATGCCACTGGAAGCCTTAGGTCCTGTTTTCGGCCTGACCTTGCTGTTTAACACTCTGGACTTGCTGGTCTCATGGCGGAAAGACGGGCATGGGAAGGGTTTAGGGTTTAGGGTTTAGGGTTTTGGGTTTAGGGCTGAAGCACGGCAGCTAAGGCAATGCTGGCAGTCATCAAGTCCGGTTTCAAAAAGGGTTTAGGGTTTAGGGTTTCGTGACGTTGCAAGCCAGTTGCAACAAAGGGTTTAGGGTTGTTTCGATGCTTCCCCAGCTGATTGGCAGAGTCTGGGTTCAAAAACGGTTGTTTCGACCGCTTTTCAGTGTTTGAGTTTTCAGGTTTCAATGGGGTCGCACAGCCCACCGGCCTCGATGTAACTTACAAGGCTTACACACATTGTGGAAAGATTGGAACGTCGGAACCATCGTCGCCCACATCACCTTGAACATCTACACCTTCAGCCTTTAGCCCTGCACCGCAGCCTTGCCGATACATGGGCCCCAGAGTAGCAGACTTTCTTCCGCCCTCAGAAAGGTTTCAGACATCCTTCGACTATGGGTAGTTGTCAAAATTATGGTCCCTTTTGGGGTACCCTCAGTAACAGGTGCCGTATTATAATAAGGACCCAAAAAGGGACCATAATTTTGACAGCCACCCATATAGTTCTGACCCATGAACACCGCTTGCTCTTCCAGGACCCTGGCTCTGTGGGCCTTGTTTGTAAAAAGCCCAGGTTCTGCAGCATACCTATAGTCTCCATTGTAATTCCTTTTTTTTGGTTTAACCAATTATATATTAAGGATTTTATAAGGTATCCCCAAAAAGGAACTACAATGGAGACTACAGGTAAGCCTAAAGTCTCAAGCCCAAGCCCTGAACAACACACCCTAAGCTTTACGACACAAGACGCCGACGCAAGCTCCGTTTGTTTATCTGTTGACACGTGGGTAGTTCTCTAAATTATGGTCCTTTTTTGGGGTACGTACTTTCCGGATCGAAAAGACCATCAACACGTGGGTGGTTGTCAAAATTATGGTCCCTTTTTGGGTCCTTATCATAATACGGCACCTATTATTTAGGGAGTCCAACGTTACTCCCTGCGGTGCGACATAGTCAGCCAGGTGGCTGGGAAAAAAGACTCACACCCTTCAGCACTGAGTCCAAGCTTAAAAGCCCAAACCGGATGTTTTCCCCCGAAGTGCACCTAACTCTGGAGCCCTCGAGGTTCTGGCCTTGTGGGGATTGACTCCATCGAACCGGCCTCTTCTCTCACGCGTGACTGGCGCAGTCGGTGCTGAGGAGCCGCAAGTTGCAAGCACCATCAAGTACCCGTTTTCGTCCGGAAGGGTTTAGTCGGGTTTCGGGCAGGTCGAGATGTCCTAGACCCCGGTAGCTCGACGCCCTCGAAGCCGGAACAGGGGCGGCACAAGCGCGCAACATCTCCCAGAGAGAGCACTCGCAGTCTACTTCCGGTTCTCCCAGGTGCCATGTTGGTACCTAGACCCTTCGGGATGTCATTACAAACCCTAAACCCTAAACCCTAAACCCTAAACCATACCTCAGCTTTCCTCAGGAGGAAGGGAGATACTCGAGCTTGCAGCATCCCCGCTTCGCCAACTTTCTACTGGCAGGGCTCCTCCGACGCTTGGCCACAAACCACACAGCATCAAAAGGGGGCTTTAACACTGAAAATGCCTCTGTGGTGCATAATGGCATGAAGTATACAAAGGGAATATGTTATGACATAAATGGCACAGAAAGAGAAGTCGACTAAGTCAACTATAACTAGACCCTAAGACGTTCAAGGCTGAGCTGGCGTTTGTGCTTTAAGACTAAACCCTCAATTCTTAGCTCGGCCCCGCATCCTAAACGGGCCCAGCCTTAACCCAATTTGGGTATCCTCAGTCATGATTTCCCTAAATACCACCTTTCAAAGGTAGGTCTTTTGGGCATGCCCACTTTTCACTGAGGTGACGTCGCCAACATCGGATGGTGGCTGTTCGGGCTTTGCCGAAAGTGGCTGAGGTTCGCAACACCCGGCAGCCCCTAGCTCCCGGCACCTGCTGTCTAAGTCTACGACTGTCTTCGGTGTTTTGGGCTTTCGCTCTCGGCCCCAAGCGCCAAAGCGAGAAGGGGATGAAAGATGCTCCGGCCAAAACGGTTGAGGGTTTAGGGGGTTCAGGAAGCTGATTGGCAGAGCCTGGGTTCAAGAACAGGGGGTTCAGGAAAGGTATAAACCCTAAACCCTAAACCCTAAACCCCAAACCCTAAACCCTAAACCCTAAACAAATACATGGGGGCTGAAGAATGGGACCGTTGTGTTGAGCTTGTCAGTCAGGTTCGCGAAAGCGAGTGCAGTGTTTGTGCGGGAGCCACAGACCATTTGCTACCTTGTAGGCCCGCAACCCAAGCCCTCAAGCCCAAAAGCTGAACCCAGTAGCCTTGGTGACAAAGTAGATGGCAGTCGAATCGGGCAGTCATCTGTTGTGGAGCCGAGTGGTGCATGCACCGTGTGCAGCCGCTTGCGTGACGGACTTGTGTGGAGCCTTGCCTTCTGCGTGCGAGTGTGAGAGTCGAAACCCCAAAGCCTTGCCAGCTTTGTGCAAGACCTAAACCCCAGTAACCGGCGGACCCCGACAGACAAAAGCAAACCGAAGCCTGCCTGAATAATTACCGAGTAATTGCGCAGCCGAAGTCCTGAAGCCACGCCGAGCTCGCTCCAAACAACTCGACACTCCTGCTACCTGGACCCCAAAAGTATGTAGAATAATGGCCCTTTATGGGTTTTGGGCCATTATTTTACCTACTCTTGGGGGTTTAGGTAAACACTATAGACCCAAAGCCCGATGTATGCGTCGAAGGCATCAGAGCCAACACTCTCTGCGGGGATCCTCCGCGGAGGCTCGCGTGCAAGAGCTGCCGCTGGCTCTGCAAAGAAGGCTTTGAATTAAACTTTTAGGGCTTAGGAAGAAGCGTAGTTCAAGGCTTCAGGGTCGTTAGAGGTTGCAAAAAGGTGTTGAAGGTCTTGTAGTATCAAGTTTGAATTTGAATGTTTTTGGGGGTGGGGCAATTCGGATGGTATTCTGGTTCTATCAAGGAGTCATAGACCTCAGCAGCACCAAACATACAAGCAGAGTGTGAAGCCACAGTGCCTTGCACCCCTGAATGCTCAATCCGCAACACAACTCAGAACCCTGAACCTAAGAACCTTATATCCTACATGGGATGTCTTGTTGCCTTTGAGCTCCACTGACTCAATTCGTTTCATGCAGTCAGACCTCGAACCATATGCCTCGCCTGGAGTGTCCGAGTGTGAGCACCGAAAACCTACATGTCCTCCTCAGGGCGGGAAGGCTTCTCGCGAACCACAGTTGAGATCAAAACCGTGGAGATTTCTGCTGGAAAACATTGCCAGAAGTGTCCCCCGCCTCCCCCATAATTACCTGAGTTTGTCAAGATGTTGAAGTCATCTTCCCGATTCCTCCCTGCCCGTGTGGCCACGGAATGTGTGCTGTAATTAGTAAAAACGAAGTTTTGAACGAGGTTATCAGATGATTGCAGGATTTCTGATCTTTCTGATGCAGTTTCCAAACGCAGGTTCTCAGTGTATGTTGTTATTTTTCTCGTATCTGTCCTCGGTCCACCTCGTGTGGTGTTTCACTCAGCCGTCCCATCAACACATGCCTTGCCTGGACTGTTCGAATTGTGCCGAAAATGCAAACCCTGAGCCTGAAGTCCCAAGCCAGAATCTAAGGTTGGAAGTATGGGCCCCTAATATGGACCCTTATATAGTAGGTGTATAAGGATCCCAGGCTTTAGGGCCCATAGTAGGGGCCCATGGGTTCAACCTTAGACAGAAGAGTCCAAAGCCTTAGCCGACACGCGTGGCGTTTGAGGCGCTCAGGCCTGCATGCGCTCTGGCATCCCATGAAAATCTTCGACTTGAGCCATAACACCAACACACCAGAGATGCGGCGCGGCTTATGCTTAGGGAAGGTCGCTGATCGAAGTTGGTTACTTTCAGCGTTTCGCAGAGGTTTGTGAGGGCTTGTGTTTATTTGTTGCATATATTGCTCTTGCAAAACAGTCGTTTCCACGGTAGATGTCCACACTTGCACTCAGCATGGAAGATGCTCCTGCGTGAGGTTCTTGTGGGGCCTGGCCCGGTCCACACGCAGGTTCCTAAAAGGCCGAAGACACGCAGAAACCGTGGGTTTCTTAACAAGAGACCAACCCTAGGGCTCCAAGTATACAAATAGTACCTACTTTGGGGTCTAAAGTCTATAAATTGTGCCTACTTTGGGCTATTTGGAGCCCCAGGGCAAGGCAAGACGAATATCACACCTCTGCTGCCTCTGCAGCCCCAGGCCCGAAGGAAGCTAAGGAGAGCCTAGGGTGTGTGGCTTAAGAGAGTCGGGTCTCAAGGGGTCGAACAGACCCTTTTTATCATCAAGTTGCTTCGATACGTCCTTCGGAAAAGAGACAAATAACTCGTCAATGATCGTGGCTATGATATTTGATCTACAAGGCCTCCAAGCACAGCCCACACTAAATCTGTGTTGATGGCCCAGGATTCTCTGCCTGCTGAAGACGTTCTTCTTGCTCAGCGTCCAATGCTCGTCGGACTGCGGTCGGGAGATGACCGACTACCCGCAGGCATGAAATCCATCGGAACCGTTTTCAAGCCACTTATTCCTAAGCATAAAGTCATCGACATAGATCGATTGCGTCAAGTTGAGTCCCAAAGGGCCCTGAGTACCTGCATAGTAGAATGTAGGGTTTCTACAACAACAATTGCTAGTATGGCTTGGGCAAGTATCCCTCATATAGGTACTTGGGACCCTTTGGGATTGATAGTCACACTACTCACACTACCCAGAGTCTGGTTCGATTAATGTTCATATATGATCAGACCGACCTCGAAACATCGGACATCCACAACAATTTCAAAAGCAGGAGAACTGCCACCACGGCGACAACAGAAAAGGGCACTGTTTGTAGTGCTGCCACTATCTATACTTCCACGGCAGCGGCTGTTACGGACTTTTTTTTCTACGACTACGACTTCGAGGACGACAACGACGACGAGGATGGGGACGACGAGGAGGAGAAAGTACACGACGAAGACGAGAACGACAACAACGACGAGCACAACGAACTGTTAGGGTGTCCTGTGCTGCTACTACTGTAGGACACGACAAGTTTCGGTACCATTTGAGCCCGAAACCCTGCCCAAGAGTGCAAACCTTAACCCTTGACCGTAGTCTATAGCAAGACTGAGACTTCGCATCTTGCTCCAGGCTCTGTTGGCGGTTTGCTTCTTTATGCACTGCGCTCCTAGGCTGAGCAGGTTAGCCAAAGAATACGGTTCTGGCTCCTATACACGGGTTCTTATGAGTCCCTTAAGTGTCTTGTCAGCTCCTATCGGTTTCTGTTTTTCAATGTGTTCTATGAGAAGGGTGCTCGGAAGTTTACAGGGAGCGGGGTTGAAGGATCACTAGCGTTTCTCTCAAGGCTTCCATGGACAGTCTTGCCCACTCTACCTCACGGCCCTGCAGAGGTACATGCCATTTGCAGAAACGGTTTGGTGCCCGAAACTACAACCAGCTTTGATCCGAAATAGTCCATCCTCCGGGTTCCTGGAGCATGAGGCCCTACCTTAACCCCAAAAAACCTACCTTTTTAAGGACTTATATAAAGAAATCCCAATAAAGAGCCGTAAAAAGGTAGGTTCTTTAGGCTCTAGGTAAACCCTAAAGCCTAAACCGTGGTTCCTGGAGCCCGAGGTCAAGTTGATTTACATGCTGCGCGTCAGCTCCTTTGGCGGGAAGAAGATCCTGGTCCTGAGACTCGGCGCAGGGAGTCCTGAAGCCTGAGGCCCAAGAAAAAGTCGCAAGGCGCAGCATCTCACAATTTTCAGCTTTCTGTAGTCCCCCTAAAACGGGGTACGGGTACTTGAAGTGCAGGATTCTTAGAGTTTAGGTGCTATTCCGTTCTGAGAAGCTCGGAGCAGTGCGTAAAGCTCTGCACGCATATGCATATTTACAGATTATCTGATCGAGATATCTTCGATGGTTTTTGATAGTGCGTTCTAGAGTTGGGAGGTTCGTGGATACAGTGTGTTAATTTGAGCGATATTTGGACCAGCAGAGGATGATGTTGCTTCGGTAGTTGTGCGGCCTGCGCTCTAGCCCATCCGTGCCTACGAGCGTGAAACCGCGAAAGCGTCCTGCTCTGCAACTTTATAGTTTAGATATCCGCGGACCTGAAACTCAAAGTCTTGACGCTGTCCCAATTAACAGCCCTTTCATCCGAAAGCTTGGATAACCGGAATCAAGCCCGACGGCTCAAACACAGCTCAAAATGTCCTTCTAGGGCTTCAGTTGTGTTGTAAGCAAACTCTGCTGCAAAGCAGCCAGAAACGATCCGAGTCGCGAGCTGAGGATAAAGACTCTCGTTAGCGGCGCCATGCGGGAGATGCCACTTGACGCAGAGAGAGGGGTTTAGGGTTTAGGGTTTAGGGCTTATATAAGGACTTTAGGTCACGCCATCTCTGCCCCCCACTGACAGCCCTCCCCAGCCTAGACCCTCAACCGCCCTGAAAACCATTCAAGCAGCCAGAGACTAAACCCGCAGACCCCCCACCCTCTTCCCTTCATAAATCCCTACCGCCTTTCCACCCCTACAGACTGTCCACCGAGTTTCTTGATCTTCTGCCTCTTCTTTCTGGCCTTCGCCCTGACTGCCGTAATGCTCGACCGGAGTGTGGCCGTTGGCATCGTCAGCTGGCACCTTCGGCTCAGAAGTTCCTAGCAAGTTTGAAAGCTTGCTAGAGGTACCCATGGGCCCCATAGTATACTTCCTTTTTTGAGGTTCATATTTAGAACCTAGAAGGTAACCCCCAAAAAGTAACTACTATGGGGCCTATGGGTAGAGGTGCGCCCAAAATAGCCTTTCGAGTCTAAGTAAGCTCATCAGTAGCTACCCCCTACCCTGCCCAAACAAAGCTGGCCAGCGGGAAGACGAAATCCTGCTCCCCAAGCACAAACTGACCTCCATCTGAGCCACATCCTGAGCCGTGGAAGTCGAAGCCCATCACCGAAGCGTCTTCGTTAGAGATATTCCCTGGAAGCCCTTCCTAGACTCTAGATTGTAGATCCTCGCGCAAAGAATGGAATTCGAAAGCTCCTTTCACAAAAGCAGGGGCATTCGCCTGTTGACCCTGAACAGCCTAAGATTCTAATTCGGTAAGGAAGGCGACCTCAAGTACGACGCAAACCAACAAAAACCTGGCAAGCCTTCACGAAAACCTCAACGAAGCCCCACAAGGCGCTGAAGCAACTGTATAAAGCGACGTCCTACGCCAAAAAACCTAAACCCTAAACTTCGAGAAGTGGAAGCTTCTAGGTCACTGTATCGTGGCCTCATCTTTGGCGATGGAGCCGGGCTGGATAACATGGGCTTTGCTATCGAAGGCCTGGGGGTTGGAAGCTTTAAGGCTTTGGGGCTTAAGGGGTGGGGTGGGGGCTTGAGGGGTTGAGGGTTAACAAAAAAAAGGCCTAAGGGGGAGTTTAGAGTCGAGGGTTTAAGGTTGAGGCGAAAGGGCTCAATTAAAACCAGGATGGCTTGAAGAGGGGACGGTTTAACCTCTAAAGCCTTGTGCGCTTCGGCATCTGTTTGCGGGCTTGGTCTTAGTCATGAAGACGACGTACCTTCAAGCGTCGAGTTGGTTGTGAGAGTACGATGCCAAAATCCTGGTCTGACCTTGTCGAGCGCGAGTGCTAAAGAGAGTCCGTTTTGGAGGTTTCGCCGCATTTTTGCACCTGCGAGCAGAGGTCGCAACAGATGATTAAGAGCTCTACGCCCAAGCTGTCGTCTGGGGGCTGTCCATATACAATAGCTGAACCCCCTTGGTGCAGGAGGAGCAAGCATTGACACTCAAATGAGTGCATCTGCGACCGAGGGTGAAAAACTAGCACCCAACTCGTGTCGTGCATGTCCTGTTTTACTCATTAGCTAGCCTGATACTCCCAAGCCTCATGTCACCACTCCGGCGTAGGAATCCCTAAAGCCCATAACTACCCGAAGTTGTATGAAGTCGAAACCCGAGACTGTCCCTTCCCGAATATGCCACATATGCCGTACTATCGAACCGGACCCAAAACCCTTTTCAATACAAGGCAAACCCCTATAGTGAGATAAATTCTCTCAGTGTCTCTGGCTTCAGGCCCTGTAAAAGCCAGACAACTTCCAGCCTCAGACTCCCCCCATGGCTTTGAATGCAGGGCTTTCCCGGGGCGAAATTCCACGTCGCCCGGACGCAGCGCATGGAAGGTTTACTGGGTCCTGTGGAACGGTGGGACTCAGGGTTCATGGGTTCAGGGCTGTGGGTCCAGAATTCATATTATGAGAACTTCAGAAACTTATGGTACCTTTCAAGGGTCTTGGGTCCTTGTTTTAAACCCTGAAACCCGAGCAGCCTGAAAGGATGCGGCCTGAAAAGCTAAAGATACCTTCGACCCGAAGGATCCCATAATCTAGGGGATGTAATAATTAGAATAGGGCTTTGGGGGTTCTTTATCATATTTATAGTACACTACACCCCCAACCCTATATTCAAATTATCAAGGCCCCTATATTAGCGATAGTTTGTTTCAAGTGTTGTAGCTAATGATAGATGCTCAATCGCATCCCCGCGGCCCAGGTGTGACGGACGTAGATGCTCCTCGGCTGAGTTCAGTGGTTTCACCGGAGGGGTCAGGAAGAAACCCACCCGCAGACCTCTCAGCAAGGCCAGTTCGTCCAATCCTTGCACTAACCCTCCAGGTACCTGCTATATAGGGCCCTATAGGCGGCTCTAGTATCCTCTATAGTAGGTACCTGGAGAGCTAGGGTTGAGGCTTGGGGCTAAGGTATCGTTTTCGAGGCCTGGTCGTCACACCTGAAACCTATGGGGACGCGAGCCCCAACACTATGTGGGAGATCCTAAGCCACCACAGGCTCAAAGCCCTTTCTGGGTTGTTCAGAATTTGTGTTTTGTTTTAGTGTCGGACAGTTCAAGAGCCCCGGTTGAGTAGAAGTTCATGACTCACAGAACAGTTGACTCTAAACCATAAATAGCTCCAAATGGTAAGGACCCTAGAAGGCACATGATTTCAACCGCCCCCAACATGATCCCCACATTATCCAAAAGGCATGGTGCAGCTAAGAACGATTGACCAGGGGTTCGTACAGGGTGTAAGATGTGAGGATTGCGTGCCCAAAGGCGCTGAGCACTCATCTTTCCCGGTTTCTGGAGCCATGGACGTTCATAGTAATGTAGGGGCCTCGATATTTACTGATACTATTTTTGTGGGTTCCTGCTGATATAATTATAGTATAATAGGCCTCAAAGCCTTATTCTAATTATTAAAGTCCCTACATGAGTTTACAGAAGGAGCTTCTCCCAGATGTGCGGTACCTCCTTCAATCGCCTTGCCCGGATGGCGGGAGATGCTTTGTTGCTGTCGAGATTCTCACCTCCTGATCCATTCCCGAAACGGGTAGTTCTCCAAATTAGGGTCCCCTCTTATAGATCCCCGATATAGTACGGCACCCTTATTGAAAAAAGACCCTAACTTAGTGGCTGAGTAGGTAACCTTTAACTTTTTGGGGCTCTGATAATCCTACTATAATTCAAAAGATTAACTTTTTTTGGGCCAGGGTACTCAGCCCCTAAGCCAAAAAAGACACGAATTTAGAGAACTAGCGACCGCTCTTCGCCTTGAGGTTCTGAAGACCCTTCTCACTGTTATGGCAATTTTGGGCACGGTGACCTTCATCGTGCAGCTGGGCTGTACAGCGAAGCCCAGAAAGTTGGAACATGGATTTAGGATGATCAGTGCTAGGATCCCTTATAAACTACCTTTAGGGTACCACAATAATGATGTTCCAACTTTCTGGCTTCTACTGTAGACCCTCCAGGGTTCAGGGCTGGGGGTTTTGAGGATTGTGGCCTGCACTACTCATGCCCTGTTTCTTCAGACATCGAAACACTAAGCATGCAATCCCGAAGCCCTAAATCCTAAACCCCTGAACCCTTTAACCGCAGACCTTTCCCGCTAGGCCCTAGGCCTTACATCTAAGCCATCAGCTCAAGCCTCCTAAGCTTTTCATCTCCGCCTGACGCTTCAAGTCTCAAACCTTTAAAGCCTCTCACCACTCCCCACACACACCACCTTCCTAACGCGTTTAGGGTTTAGGGTTACCCTTAGCACGTTCAGTACTTACGTCATCGCATTTGATATCGTCCCAAACGACTGGGCCTCTAAGATGCTCGCTCTCCTTTGAAGGGGGCTGTGAGGGGTCGCCAGCAGTTGCGCTCCCTCAGGGCCTTCAACATAGCCAGGCGCGACATGCAAGCCTGATGTAAGGGTTAGGGGTAACTGGCGAAGAAATCGAGAGAAGTACCAAGTGACACTTCGCCAATCCAGACACCCCAAGGGCACACATAAGCCTTGCTCAGCCTCTTCCTGAAGAGAAGTGGTCTGTATCTGCGTATGGTGAGTGGCTTTCGAAGTCGGTCCTCTGTCTTTGGGCCTTTGGGTTTCACTCAGACGACCTATTGCCACATGCCAAGACCGGATTGTCCCAGTTGTGAGCGCTGAAAGCCTCCAAACCCTAAAGACGCGCTCAGACTGGATCCTTTTGGAGCGAAATTGCCCTAACCCTCCAGGTACCTACTATATAGGGCCCTATAGGGGGCTCTAGTACCCTATATGGTAGGTACCCGGGGAGGTTAGGGTTGCTTAGCAACCAGCACCGAAGATCTGCTGACCGAAACCCCAAGCACAAACCTCAGCCAGCACTCTGAATCCTACAGACTCCGGCCCAAAACGCAGTTATGAATAGACATTTTCGAGATGGACTGAGGATTCTGAACATGATCATTGCCATCTACAGCACGGCACCCTGGCATGATCATAAGTTTGCGGCAGAGGACGTCATGGCATCAAGATGTGCTCCTTAAGTTTAGGCTTTGGTTTGGACACCGTTAGTTCAGGGTCTACGGCTCTAGTTGCGGGTGCCGCGGGTGTAAAGTCGCAGGTGCTCCGAGAGAGGGAGGTGCATGTATGTTTGTTTGTGCATCTGTATGTATGAATGCATGTACGTACCTACACACTCCAAAGTTTAGGGGCTATTGTGGTTTTATGTGAAGGACCTAAACCGCAGCAGGCAAGTAGAAGTCCTAAGGCTGGTGCATAGCAAGTTCTTTCTAATCGCTTAAGGCTTGGTGATCTTGCTTCGCATTCAGCCTGCTTGTTAGTTGCCTTTGTTCTATGAGCCCTGCCTGAGAGCATTGCATCTCACCAGCTGTCACTAGAATCGTGAGGTGTGTGATATACGAGCAGAAAATCAAGTGTTCCGCGAAGATGTAAAGGAGGTGTTTTGCTCCTGAAACTCGTAAACCACGAATCTGTAATCCCAGCAACCATTCAGCCCCAAACGCTCACGGCATCGGTAGCTTTCGAAAGCTAGATGCCGCAAAATCAGATAAATTTGGTTTGGCCGCTGTCCACTGGTAGAGTCCAGAACTTGAAATGAACACTAAACCTTCCAACTTGGAGAAGCACGATGCTTCTACCAGGAGTACGGGCGATTGGAGATGGAGAGCGACCTCCTTTTCCAGTGGGACCGTCGCATAGGGTTTCGGGTAAGGGTCTACTGGTTACAGACTTTTCAATAGCCTCCATAAGAAATTTCCAGCTGGGGAGTCCATGTGTTCAGGCTGTGAATCCTAATCTCCATGAATTTCCACACGCCCTTTTCGGTTCTGCCTATAGTCTCCGTTGTAGCTCCTTTTTTTCGTTTAACCAAATATATATTAAGGATTTTATAAGGTATCCCCAAAAAGGAACTACAATGGAGACTATAGGTGGAATCGATGCGACTGAGATCTGTACTTCGGCCTTCAGTTGCCAGCTCATGGAGTAGACGTGTGCGAGGTTGGCCACTAGAGGGTTTAGTTTCGGGTTCGATGAGGGTTCAGGATTTGGGCTTTGTGTTCTAACTGTGGGGACGGTTAACTTAACTTAGGGTTAGTAGGAGCGGAAGACCCCGAGAGACAAAGACGCTTGAATCTTGCAGGAGCGCGCCAAGTACTGTTGCAACTGCCTGCTGCATGGCATCAAGATCATTCAAGGGAGCATCTGGCCTCCTCACCAAAAGCTTAATTATAAGCCTAAGCTTAACTAAACTCAAGCACGAATCAGCACAACAGGCCCTAGATCTCTCCTAGAAGGAGGAACAGGAAGTCCTGGTAAACTTGATTTTTCCAGGTGGTGATCGAGAAGACGTCTTCTACCCTACTTACATAAGGCTAAAGGCAAGCTGTAGACCGGCTCTATGTGTCAAGGCGTTAAAAACAGGCGCCTAAATAATTACCTGTACTACTTAGGGGGTTCCTTATTATAGTTATACTATAATGGGCCCCAAAGCCCTATTCGAATTATTAAGGACCCTATATTTTGCCTTAAGGATCTTGAATTTGGCCTTATCTTGGTCTCTGCTTGTAGGAATTCCCGAACCTTATTCGTTTGCTTCTGGTTGCTATTCAGGAGTTCAGTTACTAATCCTAGTTATTAGTAGTGTTATTGTGTGTATTATTCTGAATATTTTGGGTCGTCACATCGCGGTTATGATTGCTACACTGCCCCTACAGCTGCTCGAGGCTTGGAATGCAGAAGTTACGGTCGAGAAATCGCCTCTGGCTGCACTTGACTCGTGGCGTTGTGATGCTCTGGCTGCCACAGCAAACGCTTTTGGGTTCTAGGTTTCATGAAGGGTTGGAGCGCCGCAACAGGCAGAATCCTTTCGCCCCTCATTCTGCAAGCTCCCCCTGAGACCCGATTTTGGAAGTCCTTATTATGAGGCCCGAAAAGAAAAGCAAAAGTCCAGATCACTCTGTTCTTCCGATGTAGATAGTTCTCGGGGTCCCGGCTGTGGTGTGCATTCGCCGTTTTTTTCTATGGGTGCTAGCTGGTGTTGGGCTCAGATGTCTGGAGCATGTGCGAAATCTTGGGACTTCCCTCCTGTTTTTCTTGGTTCGGATGCAACTTGGTCAGATGACGGGCGCGAGAAAAACTAAAGCCGAACAAGCAACCAAACCCCAAACCCTAAACCCTAAACCCCTAAACCCCTAAACCCTAAACCCTAAACCCTCAACCCCAAACCCTAAACTGCTGAAGCTGAGGATTGGCTGCCTAGCCGGTTCGGTGGCCTTCTTCGCGGCCTTTCCGACAGGTCAGCGTTCATTCTGTAGTGTGGTGTTTTGATTTAAGGGTTGCTCAGGCATGTAAGATTTAGGAATTAGAGCTTTAGGGTGTGGGTTTTCGGTAACGTTTAAGGTTTACGGTTCAGGGCTATTGAGACGAATTCGGGGTGCTGATTCAAAGCTGAGAGCGACCGCTTTCGGGTTCTACGGCGGCAGGTTCCGACTTAGGAGTCATCAGCTTTTAAAATACGATCGAATTACTGTTTCAGGAGTACTATTTAACAAGTTATGCATGAAGAGGAATCATTGAGTAATCCGGAGACGTCTTCAACTCGCACACTTGTAGCAGAGATCTGAAAACCCAGACAGCTACATTCTGTGTACGCAGGCCCTGATACAAGTATCCCGATCCGTCAGCCCTCAACGACCCAAAATGAAAGAGACTTGGCTGAAGAAACACGAAGTGGTAGCCAGCCCTCCGCGTGCGCTATGCCCTCAAATCCATAGAACTGCAAAAAGCAGAATTGCATCGCAGAGCCTTGAAGTTAAATGCCTCTCACACCAAACCCGTGGACCTTTAAACGCTTCAAACTCTGACTCCAAAGCCCCAAGCCTTAAGCACATGCCTCAATCCCGGAAGCTCTCACAAGACCAACAGCCTCCAAAACGTATATATATATATATATATATATAGTATATCTATCTATCTATCTATCTATCTATCTATCTATCTATAGAAAAGAACCCTTATATATCCCTAAATTCGGGCTTAAGGGACCCTCAACAAATCCCCGGAGCCCGAAGGTCCGGATGCGATGGCCGCACCACCGCCCTTTCCTCTTGGCGCCCTCCTCCTCGCGACTGCGCAGGTACTTGCAGGGCTGCTGTTGAGGGTTTACGTATGTTTAGGTTTTTTAAGGTGATGGGGAATAGGGTTCAGGATGTAAGTAAGGCTTAGGTTGGGATTCCAGAGCTTTTAAGTCAGAGAAGGAGGACTTTTAGATTAGGACTATGTAGGGTTTAGAGTGTGAGGTCTAGTGCATAATGTGGCTGTGGTGTGTTACGATTACTCCGGTGTGGGGTTGAGTCATGTCAGAATATGGTGCCATGGGGTCTAGGGGATTGGAGTATATGGGTTTAGGGTTACATCTGGACTTGATGAATGCCAGCACCCCACTGAGCCTGGGTTCAGAAAAATGGTATAAAATTCAGGGGTGTTGGGGCATAGTTAGTAAGGTTTACGGAATTACGACGGAATTAAGGTCCGGGGTGTGATCAATGTTTAGGAGAAGCCGGATTCGGATGCAAGAGGGAACGTTAGGCTTTCGATGTTGTTGGCTCTGAGGTCGGATAGCTACAGACACATCCCAAGAACTAACACATACCGCCCTTACCTTTGGGAGTTCAGGGTTTCTCTTTCCGGGGGGGGGGGGGTTCATTTCAATAAGTTGGGGTCCTCTATCTTCAGGGCTTCGCTCGCAAGATGTTGCTCTGATTCTGGGCGCCAACCCTTAAGCTGGCCCTAAACCCTCAACCCAACTCCTACATCCTTTCTGGCGTGGCTGTGAGGTTGCCCCCTGACTTTTACGGTTTCACTTTTCAGGGTAGCTACCTGAAGCCCCAATCCTATGTAAAGCAGGACCTTAGATGAGTCGACTTATGACCCCTTCATAATGGTTGAACTTGAATGGTATAATATACGTGCCGACATAATTACCTATATTATTTCAGGGGTTCATGTTATAACTATAGTACAATATACCCCAAGACCCTATTCTAATTATCAAGGCCTCTATATTTGTCGGAGCCACAGGAGGTCCCTTAGCACACCGTCCGTCGAGTTCGCCGACGCCCCTACCTACGGGGCCAGCCCTGGTTTGCGATCTGGGTGCCAACAAGCACAAAGACCCTAATATAGGGGCCTTAACACTTAGAAAAGGGTTTTGGGCCCATTATGCTATACTTATAATAAGGAACCCCCAAAACCCTACAGTACTGTAAGTCTTGTATCTCATCGACGCGCGACTTGGTGAGCTAGGGCTAGGAAATATCTTATTGACCAGCCTGCCCGCAGTATCTTCAACACGCATACACGCTGAACTTCTGAACCCTACATCCTGAAGCGTACACCCGAGCCCGAACCTTACATCCAAGATGGAGCAGAAAGCACAGGTGGGCATGCAGGCCCTGATGATGCGCAGCGACTGGTTCGCCGTAAGCGGTGGCAAGGAGGGTCCCGTGGAGGCCGGCCAAGTAAGAGAGGTGCCGGGATCAGGATTGATAATTTCGGGAGTTTAGGTTGAAGCTTCGGGTTTACAGGTGTTGTCGGACGAGCATGTGCTCGTGGAGTGAGAGGACTTTCGATGATTTTGAGGAGCCAGCCATTCGAAGCACCCGACAAGCTGCCCCTTCGCAGCTGCGGACCAAACCCTTGAAGCCCCAGTCTTGTTGTCGACTTCACCTCAGAAAGAAGGTAAATCTTGCGAGATGAAGAAAGGCCGCTGACACGAAAATGACCGATAGATCCAGCCCCCAATCCCGAAACCCTAAACCCGCGCAGCCGGGGAGGAGCATTTCCTTTGGCAGCTTGGCTTCACCTGGCTCAGCAGCCACCAACCTTCCGCAGCACCACATTGCCGAATTGAAAGTATCTTCCATGTTTCTAGGGCTGTGTTAAGGGGTATACGCGATGTGAAGCAATCTCTAAACCCGAAACATCCCGAAACCTGCTTGTTGTCCAGTCTTAACTGCTCGTGGCAAGCGGACGCTCCTGCATGTTCCCGTAGCGATTAGGGCAGTCATCGTGAGGCCGTGCCGGCTGTGTGCGAGTGATTGCGAGTGTGCGAGTCGAATCCGGACACCCGAATCACCAAACCCCCTAAGCCCTAAACTCGGGTACAGCAATGCGGGCTTCGTCCTAGCTAGGTGGGAGACAACAAAAACCCTAACCCCTCCAGTGTGTAAACCCACGTCCCGAGCATCACCCGGTAAACCAAGCTGTGAGGGCCAGCCAAGAAAGCAAATCATTCAACTGGTCTCAAAAATGAGTGCAACACTATAGCTATGCGGACAGAAGGTTATGAATGGCATGAATACATAGATGAGAGCACACAATAAACATATCTTCCCACACAAAAACTGACGGTGCCTAGGATCGTCCGTCGCTGCGAGCAGTCGGATCTGCGGGCAGAACGGCCTGTGGAGAGCGAAATGGAGGCAGAACACTGGTGAAGCTTTTCGGTGTGTATTGTAGGGGCCTAAATAATTACGAATACTATTTGGAGTTCCGTATGAAAAGTATTGTATACTGGGCCCCAAAACCCTATTCTAATTATCAAGGCCCCTACATTAGGTGTTGCAGGTTAGGGCTTTTAAGCTTGAGGGCGTTGAGGGGTCTAGTTTTCGGGTTCATAGGGGTAGGGTTTTTTTTTGATTAAACCTCGGGAGTATTTGACTCAGGGGTTCTGAAAACGAAGCACTCAGAATTGCTCATGGGGCCATAGGGTTTAGGATCGCAGGTTCGGATCTGACCCGCAGATGGCTAATTGTGTTTTTTTCTTAATGTGCAGCGGTTTTTAGCCTCCCACGTAGTCGGTCTAAGCTTTTGCAGCTTTAGGTCGGTCATAAGGATTTGCGTCAGGGCTCTTGCATTTCTCGGGGCTAAGGGCTTCAAGCAATCTTTGCTGCACTGTAGCACCAAAGACTGCTTGAACCTGTTGGACGTGCCTTCCCAAAAGCAGGAAATGGCAGCGCACATGGTTATGACGATCTGTTTATTGTATTATGATCACTGTTTCTGTTAATTTTTACTATTATGATCAGTGTTTTTGTTATTTTTATTCAGTCATGACCTCGTTTGGGGGGCGGAAAGGCATCGAGCCAATCCGGATAATTATGGCCCTTGTGACTCTTTGGACCCGCGAGGCGCAGACTCGTCTGACCAGGGAGCTTCTGACGGAAATTCGCCCCTTGGATGTTTAGATTCACAAAAATTGGGGTCAGGGTTTAGGGTTTATAGGTGTTTAGATGGGCTTATAAGGTGACATAGAACTTGCTTCAGAAAAGTGGCTTCGATGTGGGGGCTTTTTCGACGCCACAGCCCTCAGCTAAAAACCGCGCCTGCGGCCTTCTCAAGACCCAGAGACTCCAATATCCCTTAATTAAGGAATATACCTTACATCATATTAGGAATCCTACTAATATTTAAGGTATATTCCTTAATTAAGGGATATTGGAGTCTCTGGAGAGCAATTCAAGTTGAAGAGGCTCCCGGACCTGACCCACACTTCTTCCACGAACAAACCCCAGGCCCAAGCCCGTAACCTTTCGCCTAGGGATCCGGGCATTTATGGGCTTTGGGTTTCTGAATTCCGCCTTGAACTTCAAAACTTCAGGAAGCCCTTTGCCTGACGTTGAGGTGGTGGACATGGATACGGTCATGGTGTTCACCAACAGAGTTCAGTATGCTCCGGAGGGGTAGGGCCAATCGGACACCGAAGCAGACGCTAAGGCCCCTAGCCTTCAGCTCAAGATTAGGAACCCTCAGCCAAAAGTTCTCATTGCCAAGCCCGAGCACCTTGGAAAGAGGTCCTCAGACTTGATTGTAACCCTATCCGGACCTCAAGATCACAACAAGGTGCCTCCAAGTCTGCAGTAGCCCGAACCAGTATATTGCCGAGGTGGTCGGATGGAAAGGGACAAGCCATCCAAGGCGCGCTTACTGTTGTGGCACTGGGCTTATTGGTTTTTTCGTGTGTTTTTTGCTTGTGGCGGCCTGTTCGTGAGCCCGGCCCTTGCACAACGAAGTGGTGCCACGTCTTGCAGACAGGTTTGGTCCTAGATATACTCAGGAGGCAGAAAATAAGACTGAAAATAACTCATAGTTACCGGACCACAACGGGGAAGCCAGAAAAGGATTCAGCCCTTCGTCAAGCTCTGTTCACAGATGTCCCGCAATGTAGATCCAAAAGATGCACGAGCACCTTCTTTCCGTTCTGGCCGGTATGTACAAGAACAGTTCATGGTGATCGGGTGAAGAGGGTGAATATCACGACCCTAACTAACATGGCGACGAGAAAGATGCCGTCGATGATGGTGTTGAAGCTGATGGGTATGTATTGAGGGGCCTTGGTGCTGGCGTTAGCGACTGTTAATTAAGTTAATTAGTCAGTCGTTGTGGTGGTGCTTGTAGTGATGGTGATGCTGGAGGTGCTGAGAACAGTCCTGACGATGGTCATACTTGCCGTAATATCGCTTGCGACGGCGAGCCACGCGCTCCCTTTGTGTGCGCTCTAGCCCGAAGCCTTGCCCAGCAGGCTGCGTCGCACTATGCCGTCTCAAGGCCTGGCCGTGCGGACATACTTGTTGGCCTGGTCTGAGTTAGGAGCTAAGCCTGGGCCTTCCCATGGGTCTTGGCTTGTCACTCCCTCGTTTCGCATCATCTCGACTCCCCTTTTTCTGAGCCCTGTGTCAAAGAAGCCCCAAGTGTGAGGCCGTGGACCCTCAGCCCTCAAAGGTCCGAAGCATACGTCGACAAGAAGGAATGTTCAGATCGATAGGTAGCTAGCTAGATATACATAGGTGTGCATGGATAGGTACATACGTACATAGATAATTATCTTTCCTCCTTTCTATCTATCTTTCCATCTATCGATCTGTACATGTATGTACATCCATGTAGCCCTGAAATCCTTGATGCATCGCTTTTCCACGTATCATTCCGCACCCTCGGCCCAAATCGCCAGAGAAAGGCAAGAAGGAGCCACGAAGCAGCCACGAAGCAGCCTCTGCCTCCAGGCGCCCGACGACGCCCAGAAGTAACCCCATGTCGCCGAAAAGGAGAGGGAGGGAGGGAGGGAGGGGGGAGGGAGGGCGTGCTTGGCGGGCCTGAAATTGAGGATCCTACTATTTGGTATTTGTATTCGGGGTCCCTGATTTTCTGAAGCCCCTACATCCGCAAGGCCCTAAGCTCTAGCTTATGGCCCAGATCTGCGAAGTTGTGGAGTTTGGGTTCAACGGCTTAGGGCGTGTTTCGGCTACCCAGTTCAGCAGCTTCAGTTTTTGGGCTGGCCCTGCTACTCACTTGAGCACCCCATGTTTGAAACTATATGGGGGTTTCCGAAAATTGGGACCCTAATATAGCACCCTAAATAATAGGATCATGATTATAAGGACCCCAAAATAAGGAAC